CCAGTATTTCCCTTCAATAAGGGGTGATTATATTTATCTCTGTCCTGTGTGGCCCTGCTTTTATCCCATGGTACCGTGACTCCGCTGGAGCACTGGTGTGAATAAAGGCCCTTGGGGTTGAGGCTGTCATTGCCCCACAGAAAAGGGACACAACAGTGAAAGCCTGTCTCGGTAGCAGTGTTGTGGATTGAACTTGGCCAGCTTTTCTGCTCAAGTTGTAAAAATCACTTGAAATATCTTTCCCTGTGGGGCTGTATATTCTTCTTCAGTTCAGCAAGGTGCTTCTGGCAAGATTTTTCTCTTTCATCTCAAAATGATGGAGTAGACTATCATAAAATCTGTTGTCGCTTGTCTTGTTTGCTATTAATGAAGTTGTGGACTTTTAACTTCCAGTAATTGGTGGTGTGGTTAATATTTGGGTAGTCAGGAAAGCCTGTAGGTACGTACTGGTGTTAATAGTCACACGATGAAAGATAGAGGTAAGAGGAAGCACAATAATAAGATAACATGCTTGCAAATCACTGCTAAATTGATAATAACTTTTTACAGCTCTCTTTCTGGACAGATTTCTCTTCTACATCTTTTTTGTTTATTTTTAATGTTTGGCATTATTTTTCTTTCTGTAGGTTTTTAAAATGAAAATGAGCAGATGACAAAGTTAAGCATCATTTTCCAGAGATAAACAAGAACAAGTGGGCTAGCTATACTTGGGGAAGCACATTAAATAATGAGTTTAGGGTGACAGATGAAAAGAGAAAGGAGAAACAGATTATATATGGTCTTTAATATGTGTAAATTTTAGTTTGTGTGTGTTGCGGTCGGCAGGTAATGGCCACTGCAGAAACTCACTGTCATATGATGATTGTGCCTGTTGTGTTAATGCTCAGACTTTTAATTGGTGTCAGTCTGGATCAAACCATGTTGTAACTCCAACATTTTCAGTTGACCTGCACCTCTAATACTGTGTTCAGTTTCGGACCCCTCACTACAAGAAAGACATTGAGGTGCCAGCGCGTGTCCAAGAAAGGGCAGCAAAGCTGATGAAGGGTCTAGAGAATAAGTCCTGTGAGGAGCAGCTGAGGAAACTGGAGTTGTTTATCTTGGACTAGAGGAGGCTGAGGGGAGATCTTATTGCCCTCTACTACTACCTGAAAGGAGGTTGTAGCGAGGTGGGGGTCAGTCTCTTCTCCCAAGTAACAAGCAATTGGATGAGAGGAAATGGCCTCAAGTTGCACCAGGGCAGGTTTACATTGGATCTTAGGAAAACTGTCTTCACTGAAAGGATTATCAGGCACTGGAATGGGCTGCCCAAGAAAGTGGTAGATTCACCATCCCTGGAGTTACTTAAAAGACAGGTAGATGAGGTGCTTAGAGACATGGTTTAGTAGTGGTCTGATTATGGTTTGACTTGATCATCTTGGTCTTTTCCAACCAAGTGATTCTGTGATTCTGTGAGTTAGACAAAGGAGCAATTTCATACTCCTCAACTATAAATAGAAGTTATTTTATTTCCCTGGCGCGATTTAAAGCAGCAGTGACACAGAAGATGTCATCATGTGACATTCTGTGCATGTACCTTTGTTTTAGTACAGAAGAAAACAAGAAAAAAATCTCTGTTTGAAGAATGGCATTTGAGGTACTAGATGGCTGTATGTTGTACAAGCTCTTCACACCAGAGATTTGGCAAAGGGCAATATTCTATCATATGCTAATACAAGTCTAAATAGAAAATGTGCTTGCTTACTCCTTTATTTAAAAATGTACTGCAATCCTCTTATAGTAATAGTACTTCCTGCAAAGCTTTCCATGTTCAAATAGCTTATGTTCGTGATTGGCACCTTAGAAATCTGAGAAGTTTTAGTAAGTGAATAAACACAACACAGTTTGCAAACATTAATCCCCCAACATCTGTGGACAAGCAGTGTGGGAGGATTGCTCTCTTTACCAGTGCAGGAACCATGGTGTTGGTGCAGTTGTTTCCTTTCCACAGAAAACATCTCCTTTATAGTCACAGCAGAATCTACCATTGCCTCCATGGCAGGGGTGCAGTTGACACACACTGGTGGACACTTCTGTCTCAGCAGATGGTAGCCCCTGGACTAAAGCATTTTGAATTTCAGTAGAAATAACTTCCTACTTCACCTCTGCCTCACGCCCATTTTGTTTCCAGCCTCAGGGTCAGGAAGCTGAGTGGAAACAGCTATTGATATAACACACCACTTTCTTAGAAGTGCTGTTTCTGCCACAGCTTTCATTCAATTAATTTTCCTCCCAAGAAGCAAGCATTAAACTTCAGTCCCATAGAACACTGTGAGGAAGGTCAGCACGCAGCTGAGATCTGCCTCTGTATTTCTCCTTCTATTCTGCCTCTGTGTTTAGGCTGAAGGCCACTGAGGGTTAGTATCTGTGAGTATCCCAGCTCAGGTCTGCCCTGACCTTCAGTCTCTCCTTGCATGAAATGGCATTTTCACCTGTAAGAGCTTTTCCCCTAGGTCTCATGGGAAAAATAAGACTGTTTTCATTATCAAACCAGACTATTACAAGATAACCCACATCCCTGGAACTTCTGTATTCCTCTCTTGTTTTCCAGGAAAGAAAAATAAAAACACTTGACTTCAAGAAGTAGCTTTCTCCATTTCTGCCTAAAAATCCCTCATATTAGAGTTAGCAACCAGAACACCATCTGAACTGTCTCCATTGTAGGATCACTAGCAATCACTTATCAAAAAACATTGTTCATATTTTGTTAATTAATGGACATCACGTTTAGGAAGTAGAATACAAGGAGAGTGGTTGGATTATATATCAATCAGATTGCAACCCCTGGAGTTATCACCTCCTAATTCACCCTAGATGGTGTCACATGCACCAAATTCCATCTCTCCCCAATCCCCCTTGCAAGGTTTTCTTGCAGAAGTTTTGGGGTGTTTCAAGACACAAGTCATGGGCAGGCCATCTTCATTCTAGTTATCTATGCTGTCTTGAAATCCATCAAGACCCCAGTACAGAATACTAATAACTTTACAGTTGAAACTCATGTGTAGGTTGGGTGTTCAACTGCATGCTCTGAATCAGACAAAATCCCCTTTTCCAAGATCCCCAGGGATCAGCTCTTAACTACTAGCTCATTAATTGTCTAGTCAGGGCTGTCCCTCTTTGTAAGTGGAAGTTCAGGAAGGGTTTCAAGCAGAAGGTAGTCTTCCACTGCTGGAAATGTAAACACACCTCCAACCATTCACCCTCAGAATCTTCCACTTTCCAAAAAGGGTTTTACTCCTTTTTTTCTTTTTTTTTTGTCAGTTTGGTTGTTTGTCAGCTGACAGAGCATTTGAATGCATGAATAAGGAGGCTAAGTGAAGAGGTGAGCGTGATCTCCAGAAGGCTGTAGGATAATCAGAGTCAAGGTGTTTCAATACACGAAAGAGTCTGACTGGGTTGTGAGCTTAGCTCGGTTCCTCATCTGTAGGACAGGAGTCACCTCCTCAGTTGCCTTACCTGTTTTGCTGATGGAGAGTCTCTGTATTTTTCACATTTGAGATGCTATGGCGAATAGAGAGGTTCTGCTGTGATTAAAAAAAACAAACAAGCAAACAAAAAACCCAAACAAAACCCCAAACTGGTTAATTGCAATATTTGCAATACTGCCATTTAAGATTTTCCTTATTTTAAAGACATTTGAATGTTTGAAATATGTTCTGGTGTCTGAAGTACTGCATAAAAACTTTATTCCCTGAAGAGGCCAAATAGTAATTCCTAACGCTCTCCAAGTAGGGTCTGGGAGTTTGTAGTTGCTCTAGCTTTTATGTGTGTGTGATTGAAGAAAGTCTCCCAGCTCCCCCTTGTGTGGATGCTCTACTCCTGCTATGTCGAGCAAAAAACAAATGCAATTTTTGCTGCTTTTGATCAGACATTTCTACAATGCTTTGCTGCTGGAAAGCAGAATAATACTTTCACAAATTTTAAATTAACAAAATATGCCTAGAAGGGATTGGTAGCTCTTGTTAATCTGATTAATGTCAGGCTTGTAAATTCTGTTCTCCAGCAAAAAGGGCAGCAAATGCTCAAGTGAGAGATTTTAAAAACAGAGACTCTCCATTCTAGTGGATCTCTGTGCTTTAGTTAGAGTCTCTTAGTGAAGCACCTAGGATCAAATCACAAAATTAACCAGCATGGAGGTAGTTGAATTAAGTTGTATCTGCATTCACTTTTAATTAGATTTGAAATGGCTATCCCACTGTAGTGCAGCAAGCAACCAAGTCAGTACCGTCCCCTCAGGCCTTATTACTGACAACAACCTTAGCATAGATCTGCATATTCAGCAGCTGAGTTGAACAGGTGTTATGTATTGGGAAATACAGGCAGGATTTGGAAAACACAGGGTATCTTTTGTAAAACACAGTTTTTTCTCTCAAACTGGGGGAGGGGAGGACTTTCCTTTCTAAAATTTCCATATTCTGGCAGGAGTTCTTTGATGAAGCTTTTGTCTAACAGGCATCTTATGATAACATTTTGCTGCTCAACAGCGGAATCAAGGCAGCACTGGTAGCAAGTACATTCTGTGCCACCTGATGTATTTTTATGGGTTTATTTTTCCCTTATGTACATTTCTATTCCTTCAAGATGTGCTCTGAGACATTTCCAATTTCAGCATTCTGCCTGTCTCATCTAATTCAATTGTAAGCTTTTCTGGGCAAGGACCATATCTGGATTCTGCTTTCAAGTTTCATTACACAGCAGTTCTGCAAAGTGATCTTTTAAAAAAGTATCATGATGAGTGAAGGAACTTAACTTATGCATGCGGATTTGGCATGTGAGAAGAGCATGTCCTGCTCTCCCAAACTTTCAGCAATAGCATACCCGCAGACAGTCCTATCTCCGTGTGTCCACCTCCACTGGAAATGAGTGTGACAGCAGATTTTGCTTAGAGTTTCCATTAGATGGGAAGAGGTTGTTGTTTTCTTGATTCCACTTTATCATTTTCACATTTGCTTCTCTTTCAGGTGTGAACAGAAAAGTCACTTATTCCCTGGCAGACTCTGCAGATGGTTACTTCTCAGTTGACCGATCATCGGGAATCATTATTTTGGAGCAGCCGCTTGATAGAGAGCTTCAGTCTTCCTACAACATCAGTGTAAAGGCCTCAGATCAGAGCATTGTGCTGACCTTGTCCTCGTTTGCCACCGTTACCATTACAGTGCTAGACATAAATGACAACCCTCCTGTGTTTGAAAGAAGAGATTATCTTGTTACAGTTCCTGAAGACACCTCACCTGGCACGGAGGTCCTTTCTGTTTTTGCTACAAGCCAAGACATTGGTACTAATGCTGAGATTACATATCACATCAGATCAGGGAATGAGAAAGGGAAGTTCAGGATTAACTCAAAAACAGGTTTGTAAAGTGGCTCTTACTTGTAATGCAAAATGAAAGCATTAGAAAAATGTGAATGCTTTGGGGAAAGCTCTTGAACCGAAAAATTCCCAAGGACAGAGAGTTGGAGCTTGTCAATGTGGAATTAGTTGCACAGTTAAAAACCAATTTTAGGTTCGAGAGTGATGTAAATGGCGGTCACACTCAGCTGCCCCAGCTCAAGTGGAGAATACTTTTCTCCATTAGTATGTTTGCTGAAGTCAGTGTAGATGTGACAACCCATTAGCCAAACTGTGCAACCCTTGCAGTTATGAACAGTTGCAATGTTTACCTGCTTACCAGCTGAGTAAAGCCTCAACAGTCTGAACCTTAGCAAGCATCAGTCATTGCTCTCAGGACCAAATAGGCAGCAGTACCAACATATCAGGCAGTGACTCCCATTCTTATAGCTGTATATATCTTCACTGGCTTAGGTTGCTCCTGATTTGTGTTGTCTGACAGTTGATTTCAGCTGTGGTTTGGGTTGGTGTTTTTTTGGTTATACAGTACAAATGTTAAAAAGATACTGATGCTTCTCTTTAAGAAATACTAAGAAAAGCTGCCTTACTTGGTCCAAATGGCTCACGTTTTTTGAATTTCCTTAGTGGGATATATTCTTTATCCTTATTGAGGATTTAATCCGTCAACAGTAAGCTGCAATTCTTTGGTGCTTCCTGTAGTGGATTCCCTTATTCTCATAACATTCAGGATGACCAGTACAAGTCTGCCACCAGAGCTTCAGAGCAAAACAATCTTGGTTTTGAAAGCTGAAGGTAACACTTGTTTGAGTGCAGCTCTAATAACCAGTAATGTGGAAAATCTCAAAATGATGCATTACATCATTTATATTACTGCATGCAAAAATCTCTCTCCCCTTTGCAGAGACCACTGCCTTACATGTAAGGACTTAACGTAATTGTTTGTTGTCTGTTACCTTCATAATGTTGATTAGTGCTAACAAAATTTAAACACAAATACGCCTAGACAGCGATACTTAACTTCACATTTGACAATGAAGCCAAGGAGATAAATCAATAAAAACCCATAATAAAGCTTAATCACACAGAGAACAAATAAAAAAATCTATTTATTATTCATTAATGTGTGACAGCTCCATTATTATCGGTTTAGAGGCAGGAGCTCAGTTTCCAGACAGCCGGGTGCTGATGTAGCATGCCTGATCAGGGCTTGAAAAATAATGTCCTTCACACCATTTATCAGTGGGAACTCTTTGCTCACCACTTGGAAGCTTCTCTTCAGGGCTCCTGCTTCCAGCCAGTCATGCTGAAAGGTAGGATTCATTTGGAGAGAGCCCAGACAAGATTAAAAAGAATGATCCAAGGCCTGTAAAATGTGACTTACCAGGAAAGACTGAAGAAATTGAGGCTATTTAAGCAAGAAAAGAGAAGGCATGCTGTTAGTATTCAAGCTTGTAAAAAGTACCTACGAAGAGGAGGGGAAAAAACAGTTCTCCATGCCCACTCATGAGAAAAGAAGTTGTGAATGGGCTTAAATTGCATTTGGATTAAATTGCATTTCGATTATTTCAGCTAAATGATAGGAGGAAGTTCCTCACTGTAATGACTGTTAAATGCTCAAATATGTTTCCTAACAAGGTTAGGAAACTGATGTTGTTGGATGTTTATAAGGACATTGGAGATGAGTACCTTCAAGAATGAAAGGTTTAGCTGACCTGTGTTGAGCAGCAGTTGGACTAAATTGCCTTTGAGCCACATAAATCCCTGCTTCTGATGGGTCTATATTGAAAAGGATTTTGCTTGCCAAGGTTAAGGGTTGCTTTTAAGCCTTTCCTGACATGCCCAATGTTACCTCCTTCAAGACATCCCTCATAATCTGTGCACAGCCCACCCTCCTCTTCTTCTTCAGGTTATGGGTACATGGGAAACAAGTGGAGGGCTTGCATAAAAAGCATTTCTGTCCTAGAGGGGGTCTGGGGGCACAGAGTGAGTCAAGTTGCAGAGGTTCTTAATTTTGATTGTGTGGTGAGGGAATATAAAATTTTTAAAGCTAGTTGAGTGTCGAAATCCCTGCTTAATCACTTAAATGATAGACAACAGATTTCTCAAAGGTATTCATGCCCCATTCATTTGTATTTAATTCATGAGAAGTTAATTATGTGGGAGTGAATTTCTGTTGACTTGTCAGGGCTGATTTCCACAGTCAGCATCCAGTTCTCCCACAGGCAGTGTGCATGAGCCCAGGCAAATGCATGGACATGGCCCACACTTCTCTGTCTACTCTACTGGTATAATAAAAGCTATTTTCATGAGAAGCCATTCACTGCTTCATGCCTTGTGAAGGCCCTTTCTGCAGAGGCAACCCAAGTGCAATTGGCATCATTCTTTAATCAAATGACAGCAGTGGAAACCTGACCAAATGTTTTTATTGGATTGGGCAGTGTTACAGTTAGAACAACATATTTTGTATGTGTGCCATGGTGATAAATAGCATGCTGTACTGTTTACAACAGTCAAATCCCTTAGTCTATAGCATTATTTGATTTTTTTGCTGGCTGTTGACATTCTCTCCCTTGCTTCAAAGGAGCGATTTCCATTTTTGAAGCTTTGGATTATGAATTGTGTAAGGATTTCTACTTAGTAGTGGAAGCAAAAGATGGAGGTACTCCAGCCCTGAGCGCCGTCACGACTGTGAACGTAAACGTGACAGATGTTAATGACAATGCACCGAAATTCAGCCAGGTGGTCTACAGCGCAGTCATCAGCGAGGATGCTGCCATCGGTGATTCGGTGATCATGGTGAGTGAGGCCATGGGTGACTTTTAGGTGGGATGAAACCCTCTGCCACATGACCTTCAATAGAATACTGCTGCACCAGTTAATAATGATAACACTGAATCTTGGATCACCCAAACTGCCCTCTAGCCAATGCTCTGCATCTGCTACTGCTTTCCAGGCTGCTGTCAGTTTTCACCCCAAAATAAAGTAGCAGCAGCGTTGACTGTTTCTTTTTAACCCTGATATGCTGTCAAAGAGCAATGACATGTTTAAGGCATTGCATTTCATGAGTCAGCTAGAAACAAGTGGGTTTTATTGGAAAGACAGAATTCAACTTTTCAGTGAAATACGTGGTATTTGTGTCATACAGTATTTGTATCTATTTAGTCTGGTATGCAGTGTGCCATACCCACACCTCACAATACTCTCATCTTAGAACATGTGGATCTGGAAAGAAAGTGTTATATTGAATATTAAGATGAAAATATTGTGTATGTTTTAAGACTAAAATTTTAAAAAGATCCAAGGGGAACCTTCTGTCAAAAACTGATTAGTTTGATACTGTAGTTCAGTTTGTGAACTACAGATTTTCAGATTGTGCAGTTCATATGTAATGTAACTAGTCTGATGGAATGTGAAGTCTTACTTTTTGGGGTGTTGAGCAATTAATGTACCATACAGGTGACTTAATATTTGTTTTGCTAATTTTCTCTCCAAAAAAGTTGATAGCAGAAGATCTGGACAGTCCTTCCAATGGCCAGATTCATTTTTCCATAGTGAATGGGGATCGAGACAATGAATTTTCAGTTGATCCTGTTTTGGGACTCGTGAAGGTTAAAAAGAAATTGGATCGAGAAAGGGTAAGACATGTGGGACTTCTAAACTTACAGTGACTTACAGATGCGTATTGATTTCATCTGTGTTCCTAGGTCGTTTTGAAGAAGCTTCTTTTATACTCTGCAATGATCAGCTTAAGATGGTCCAAGAGGTCTTTCTAATGCTGTTCCACTTCTTCCCACCCCAACTCTATCCCCAATCCTATCTACAAGCCAACTGCTCCGCTAGCGTTCACATCCTGCACCAGCACAGCAGCTGAGGCCAGGTCGGGGGAGAAAGTAACCCTGGGTTTCTCCTGCGGCGCCGCCGGCAGCCGTTGCTGTGTTAATGAGCTGCCTCCGCTCTCCTGCGCGTGCAAGCACACACGTGCAGTGGGGTGTGCAACGGGGTGATTACAACATACTCCAGATCGTGGCACCAAGCACCGAGCTGAGACCTCAGCCGCTAATTAGCGCTCTGCAAAACATGTCACTGGGGAGGTGATGTTATAAGTGGCCAGGCTGTACCAAAAGTGAAAGAGTGCGTCATTAAACAGCTTCTGCTGCTTTGTTTGCTCACGAGATTATTCATTCAGGGTGATTTATCACTATTTTGCCATAGCTAGCAATTAGCAGCTTTTAGAAAAAACAAACAAATACAGTTGCCTGTGCTGCTGGCAGGGCAGGAGAGTGCTACGTGGCTTCAAAAGTCCTGCAACACATAGAGAAATCCATGCCTTCTGCCTCCAAGCAATGCATCCACTAAATGGAGGAGGCCGATTACTGTCCCCAGAATATGGGCTCAGCTGGAAAAGCTCACTACTTGAAGCAGGGCTACTGCTTAAAACAGAGGCAAATATCCTTTCTGTATGATCACAAAGGCAGGAATAAATTTGTCAGTGTTTGGTGACAGAATGACTTTACTGCACGCTGCTGAGCACAGGAAAGTAACAGTGGCTGTGCATGTTACAAATTTGCTGTAATATTTTTTTCTTAAATGTCACAGGTTTAATTTCTTAATATTAATTTATTTTATTTTTGAAATGCACTCATGTACATCTGCATTCAGACACATACACTCACACTCACCGCTGTGTGCATGTTTAATGCCAGCTCTGTTAGATCTTCATTTTCCAACGTTTCCCTCGGTTAAAATAAGCTGTGATATTGCCTTTTTCTTTGCTTCCTTGGCGTATTTCCTAGACACAGGTGTTTCTGACCCCTTCAGGGAAAATGATACATGATGCCCCATCTGCTGTAGATCCCCAAAGGCAGTGCTGACTCCCACGTTTCAGTGATTTAAGGAAACTCATTTCCAGAGCTGTAATCACATAGAAACCATGACTTTTGCCATCCACCTTTCTGCGATACATGGAAATGAAAGCGAGCACATACAAAATTTGGGCAAGACCCCACAAAACTGTTAATATTTACTTGTAGCTAGCGGTAGAAATTACAACTCAAAAGGGGAAAAAAATCTTTAATTCTCTGCCTCAGTTTCTTTACTTCCCATAGTTCAGGATTCTTCCTCCCTCCTCTGCCACTATCCCCCATCAAATTGCAGTCTTTCTTCTCTCTACATCCCCCCAAAAACTGTGGTTTTCTCTTTAGGGTGGTCCTGTGTCCCAGAAGAGCCCACTTGCTTTGTACACTTAACCTGTACTCACTCCTCCCTCCTACCAAAATGGCTTTTTTTCTTCAAATGGCTTTGGACTTCCCTCCACTCGGAAAAAGCACCTTTAACATTATTTCGTTCCCGTCTACAGGGACATGTTTTCTCCCGTTCCAGCCCCACACCAAGAAGCTGGAGCAGGTTGTTTTTTCTGGCACACATTTTGGCCTGTGCTCACTCCCCCATAGAAGGATCCACGGGCAGACGTGTCAGCAGCTCTCCCTGGGGTGCATGGAGTGATATACAGTGAAAAGCAGTCGTAAGACGGAAGGAGGCAGACATAAGGATGCGGTTCATAAAACCAAACTGTCATCCATAAGCTGTGTGCAGACAGAGCTTTTACAGATTGTCACATATGCTCACACCTCAGGCATGGGCACGTGTGTGCATAGAGGACCCATGGGTGATGGCACTGAACTACCTACACCGTGCTGAGTTGTTTGTGGCTGTTGCAAACAAACATGCTCAAAAAAACCTTATCTTCTACTGAATGGTGGATAATATCCGGTTGCTACACAGACTAGTAGTCCCTAGTAGTCCCAAATGTTTTCCAGTGTTTTTGAACCAACCGCCTGTGATCTTTTTCTTGGTTCTCCATCACCATGTTAGAAACACTGTGTGTCAAACTGAGGTTGGCTCTAATAAGCAATTTATATAATATCTTGGAAACCAACTGTAAGATAAATAGAATCAGGTCACATATTGCAGCTGACACCTAGGAGAGCTGAAAATGTTAGCTACAGCAGTAATGGCTGAGTTTGGATATTATCCATTGTTTATTTTTTGTCTGCCCCTTTGTTTCAGGAATGCATCATCTGATACAGATATTTTCATACAGTGAAGCTGTTATGTTTATTGATAGCCTTATAAAACAGAAGTTGGGACACAATGTGGGAATAAACAGGGTAATGTTATACTAAGGGCAGGGGAGTTAATGAGGCCAAACTTTCCTTAGAATATGGTAGGTGGTGCATTGGATGTAAAGAGCATGCGCTAGAATTTAGGGCCGCTTTCACAGTGATTTAGTGTTTTCACCTTTTTGCAGATATCTGGTTATTCATTAGTTATCCAAGCAAGAGATAGCGGCACTCCTCCTTTGTCTTCATCTGTGACGGTCAATGTGGACATTTCCGATGTGAACGATAATAGCCCTGTGTTTACTCCAGCTAACTATACAGCTGTGATTCAGGTAAGTTTATCCCACACATCCAAAACTTCTCTGACTTTTAAAATACAAAAGCATTTGGTTTCAGTTAAGTAGCTTTTGATGACTAATCTGTCAAAGATGTATCAAGTGATTTTATTTAAAGGGAAGTATAAACATGTCTTTAGTTTTTTCAGTAAGTTTCTGTTTGGTGAGGCTCTTTAACCCTCAGCATTTGTCACCCATTTTACCATTTATCCCTGTTGTGCCAGAAATTGTACTCTGGCCTCAAAATGCTGGTATGAGCTCACACTTCTTTTCACCTTGCTCAGGGTGAGAGTTTCAGTGGAAATCAGTCCTGAGCAGACGCAGTATCAGGCAGAGCTTGTTGGTCCCTGGAGGTATGGAGGGTACCTCCATCACTGCTACTGGTCCATGGGATGTAAGCAGTGCCAAATAAATGCTGCTTGTGTAATGCCCCCTTGGGCAAAGAGTGTTCAATTTAATATTCTCAGTAGCAATATGTGGTGTTTTGTGATTGTGATATGTATAATTTTAATCCTTTTCTCTATATGCTGTGTATATGTGTAAAGGAAAATAAACCAGTGGGCACAAGCATTTTGCAGCTGGTAGTGACAGACAAAGACTCTTTTCACAATGGCCCCCCTTTTACCTTCACCATCCTCACTGGCAATGAAGAGGAGGAGTTTACGCTGGACCCTCACGGCATCTTGAGATCTGCAGTCATCTTCAAGCACATGGTGGCAACTGAATATGTGCTCTGTGTGCAGGTATGGCTTGATTTTTGCATCTGCACAGGAACAAAAACCCTCATAGCAGCAGGTCATCTGTGCATTGCTGTATGGGTTAGTTTTAATTGACTTTATTCTGTGAGTAAATACCATGCATTCCAGTTTACAAGTGCACAGTATGATATATTTCCTTTGATGTCCTTAAACTTAATTTCATATAAATATAAATAGGTAGCCAGCCACCTTTCCAATTTCCCTGCATGAAATGGATTTTCTGAGCAGCAGCCATTATGATTTAAGATTTTCATCTTTTTTTTTCTGTAGCTAAGCAAGGAAAATAAGCAAAAATACATTATATACATATAAATACACCACAGAAAGAGTGACTGCAAAATATTGTTCTAGGAAGGAAAATCACTTCTGCTTTTAAGTCATAAATTTAATCATAAATTTTTGGAAGCATACCAAGACTTCATGAAATCACATTTCCAAGGTCAACTTAGCTTTTAAAGAACGTGAAAATAAGACATGCAATAGAAGTCCAGCTCAAACTTAGCTTTAGAGTCATTGTTGAGAAACTCTGTAACCAGGGTAATTCTGATTACAAAAAACTGTAAATCCAAAAGTAATTTGTTCACATTTCTCAGGCTTGCCAGAGAAAATGTAGTAGGCTTCAGTAAATATGCAAGTCTAGGGATTGAACTACAGCTCTTCATTGAAATGGGGCTTGGTCCTATAATCGACTGAAATTCTATTTCCTCCACCTGCTTTACTGGGGTTGATTTCTCTAAATACAGTCTGTCTGTTCCTTTGCAAGCATATTTAATGCTGTTTCTAGTAGTAGCATCATCAGTTAGTTGCAATTAAAAAAAAATATAAGCTCTGATGCTAATTGACAGTTCAAATCAAAGTAATGTTTTACAAGTTTGCCATTCAATATTCCTGCAACCCATTTTTTGAGCCTTGTAGGAAAAAAAACCCAAAACATCGCCTTTCCTTCTTACCATGCTTTCATCCTAAAACGTCCTGCTTTTAGAGCAATTTACTAGCCAAAGCTCCAATATAGCCAAAATTTGGCATGGCAATTAAATTTAAGCAGCATCTTATAGCTATATAGAATCAAATATGTCATATAAATGAAATATTAGACAGACCACAATGTCTGAGGTGCACCAACATGTTCAGAAATCCACACTGTTGGATTATGGAGGCCTAATTCCTCTGAGAATTATTTTCTTTAGGGATTTCTGCAGGGAAAACATATTTTATATTTTTCTGTTGTGTATAGACCATAAAAACATTTCTTTCCATTCATATGTGCCAGAGTGCTGCTTTCTCCTTTCCATCATCAGGTTCCTCCTCTGCATTATGTTTATTAAAAAATAATGTTAAAATTGAGAATGAAATGGATGTAATCTCTGTACATGTACGCGTGTATGTGTGTGCACATATACATAAAATCTTTTCTTAAATACTCCACCCGGCCCTTTTAGGAGTGAGGATGAATGATTTCCAGTGTGTCTTAGAGTTACTAATCCTGTTCTAGTAATGCCCATATTACTATTGCTGTCCTGCCTTTTTTTTTCCTTCAGCTTGTAAATTTTCGTCCTCATGTTCAAATACAAAGATCTTTGAATGTGTGCTACATCTCTGCCCAGTGGTAGTTTAGTCTTCTGTTCTCTGGAGCAAATAAATGCATGGAGCAGTATATCTTAACAGTGACTTCAATGAAACATTTTTCTTAGTGCAGGAAAGGACACTGATTCAAGTTTGCACACCATTCTGTCAAGATGGCCTTGGGTTTGTTGTCATACTTGCTCTTTTACTGTCTATAAAAAAATGCAAATCATGCTATCATACGTGCTCTGGGTCATCTGTCCAAGTGCAGTGCTGCACTCATATTTTATTGTTAGTAACAGCACAAGCATGCTATTTCGTTTTTGGAGGGTGATAAACTTTTTTTATTTCAAGCATGTTCCTTGGCTGCTTCAGGAAAAGTAGTTCAGAGTGCTGTAGAAAAACTCTGAACTCCCTCACATCCACACAAAACAAACAGGGTCTGAAACACTTCGGAGCACACCAAGCAATGCAGAAACTGATGCTGGTATTTCACTGAGCTTCAGTCTCTTTTCCAGTGTAAAAGGGAGCCCAAACTCCATTGGTGCAGAATATACCACATTCAAATGGCTCTGTTGTGAAGAGGACAACTGATAGCTGTGGGATCCTGGGAACATTTCAGTTTGAGTAATGAGACATTCTGCTGACACATTTCTCTCTGCAATCCACTTAGATGAGATATCTGCGCTTCCCTAAAGAGTTTGTAAGTTCCACTGCTAGAAGTGGCTGAGACATTTCTTTACATATGTATTTTGAAAATGCATTTGGGACCTTATTTTGAGAGCTCTTCAGAATTACTGATGCTGTGAATATATTTATAGCAAGAAGTTATGGTCGTTGGCTGTGTTATATGTGTGCTTTATTTTGGTTTTAATTTTTTTATTTTTTCTAAATCACATTAGGCAAAGGACTCTGGGAAGCCTCAGCAGGTTTCCCACACTTACATTCAGGTGAGGGTTATTGAAGAGAGCATTCATAAACCGACTGCCATTCCATTGGAGATTTTCATTGTCACCATGGAAGATGATTTTCCTGGGGGAGTCATTGGGAAAATTCATGCCACAGATCAGGATGTGTACGATGTCCTCACATATACACTGAAATCAGAGCAGAAAAGTTTGTTCAAGGTCAACAGCCATGATGGGAAGATCATTGCCCTTGGAGGGCTCGATAACGGCAAGTATGTCCTGAATGTCTCTGTCAGTGATGGCCGGTTCCAGGTACCCATCGATGTTGTGGTTCACGTTGAACAATTGCTACAAGAAATGCTGCAGAACACAGTCACCATCCGTTTTGAGAATGTTTCCCCTGAAGACTTTGTGGGCCTTCACATGCACGGGTTCAGGCGTACCTTGCGAAACGCAGTGCTGTCCCAAAAACAAGACAGCCTGCACATCATCAGTATTCAGCCAGTGGCAGGCAGCAATCAGCTTGACATGCTCTTTGCAGTTCAGATGCACAACGGTGGTTTCTATAAGCCTGCCTATTTGATTCAGAAGCTTACCAATGCAAGGAGACACTTGGAAAATGTGATTCGTATTTCTGCTATCTTGGAGAAGAATTGCTCTGGACTGGCTTGTCAGGAACAACACTGTGAGCAAAGTCTGTCTATTGATTCACATTCCCTGATGACCTATAGCACGGCACGAATTAGTTTTGTGTGCCCCCGCTTTTACAGGAATGTGCGCTGCATGTGCAATGGTGAGTACCGCTCCCTCTTCCCCTCCCATCTCTACACGTTATGCGATAGGATTGTTTTAATTCCTCTGATGCAGATTAGAAGGGGCATTTCAATTCAGTCTGTTAAAGCACGACTGGCAGATGTATTGTGGGAATTGATTTCTCAGGCTCCGGAAGAATTGTTCGTGTTTACTGATGTAAATGGAAGTTGATGAACTTTGGCCTTTTATGACAAAGACCGCTTTCCTGGAGGCTCCATAATCAGAGCCATCAACCAACTTCCAGGGGAGGGGAAGGAAGGGCAGAGGAGAGGGAAGGATGTGGTTTCCCACCCCCTCGGTGGCGCCACTGGAACAAACCTGGAGTGTGACCGTAGCAGAACAGCCTGGTCTCCACAGAGAAGAACCCCTGACCTTAGCAGTGCAGGTGGAAAGGCCTTTTCCAGTACCATTTCTGCAGAGAGACGTGGAAACCAATGAAGTATTTTATTAAGTAACTGTAAGCAAGCACTGTTCCTGACCTTTAATGCTACAGTAGGTGACGGTGGATTTTTGGCTGGATTTTAGGCTGTTCCACACTGTAGCAGAGATTTCGCATGGGCACATATGACAAATAGACTTGAGAGCCAATCTTCCTTATGATTCTGCACTTGGAGTATAAAACCTCAGGCAGTTATAATAATAGTTCTGTTTCTTTTGTTTGCCAGGCTATTTGCTCCTCATTCCACTTCATTTAAGAGGAGAGAAAAAAGCTGCTGTAAAATCAATACATCTAAGTCTCCCTCATCTTAAGCACATAGGCACACGTATACACACACACAGAGCAGTACAAGAATGCAGCAGCCATGTCTCTCAGCAACAAACCTTTGTTTCTGCAGCAGTCAGCAGGACTTTGTGTCTTACCATTGACTTCAGTAGGGATGAAAATAGGCATAAATTGCATATAACTTAACAAGAAATCATTGTGTCTTGCAGCATGTGAATAATAATGCCATAGAAGTTCTGTTCTGAAAAATATCAGAAATCTGTATCTGAGTTATTTTCACATACATTCAAGAGCAGACTATCTGGTCAATTTTTAAGCAATAGCATTATAAGTTTCTAACAGATGTATCTGTTAGAAAAATAGTTGGTGTTTTGTTACACATGAAAGGCTCTGAAATAAAGGGTTTTCACAGGTTTAAAAGGAACAATGCTGCAATATCCTCCAGACAAGTCCAGGAGCCAGTGTAGGAGCACTGTCTGCAAAATGCTTTTATGTTTTCTAAGTCATAGCTTTGTCTCATTTTCATACTAAGAAATCCCAAATCCTCATCTCCATGGGGATAGCGATAGCCCTCACTGTCAGAAATTGGTTTGCTGGCAGCCAACATTTTCACTGTTTATAATTTCGTTTCACTACTTTTAAAAGTCAATAATGATGAATTATTCCCTTCAGATACTAATAGTAAGTGGATCTGCCTCATAATCCCTTAGGTTAGCTCCAAAAAAAGGACTTTGCAATGCAGTACAGTTTTGATTCAGCAAGTCTCTCCCTTTTCCTCTCTGCACAGCAAATTTGCACTGGAAGCACAAAAATTCATCTGGGACAGTGATTTTCAAATTTTTCTTTCATGTACCAGTCGGTCTTCAAAATGTATGGCAGACTGCTGGAAAGGCAGTGTGGTTTTGCAGACCATCTGTGGTCCTTAGCCTCTGGGCCATTTATCATGGCTTCAAAGACTGCTGTATGGGAACAGCTGCAACAGGCAGCTTGTCCTGGTCCAGCTGGAAGACTGGACGGGTTCCCACAGCTTCTGTTAAAGCCTCTGTGGGCTGCATTCTCATAGGTGATCCACAAGATCAGGGTGGGATTGTGCATGTCTGTGAAGGGTCTGGAGCACAAGCTTTATGAGGAGCAGCTGAGGGAGCTGGGTTTGTTTAGCCTGGAGAAAAGGAGACTGAGGGGCGACCTTATTGCTCTCTACAATTACTTGAAAGGAGGTTGTAGTGAGGTGTGCGTTGGTCTCTTCTCCCAAGTAAAAAGCGACGGGCTGAGAGGAAATGGTCTCAAGTTGCACCAGGGGAGGTTTAGATTGGATATTAGGAAAAGTTTTCTTTTTTGAACGAGTGGTCAAACACTGAAGCAGGCTTCCCGGGAAGGTGGTGGAGTCACCATCCCTGGAGGTGTTCAAGAAGAGCATGGATGTGGCACTTCAGGACATGGTTTAGTGGGAATGGTGGTGTTAGGCTGGTGGTTAGACTCGACGATCTTAGAGGTCTCTTCCAACCTTAATCATTCCGTGATTCTGTGATGTCCAGTCCACCATCCAGCCTGTAACAAAGAAGTGTCCAGAGCTGCTGATTTCAGTATAGCTACCAGAGAGGTGAAAGCCTCTGTTACATAGAGATAAGAGTTCTTGGTGGGAAGTAAAAAAAATCCTTGCTTTCCCCTTATACACATTAGTTAATGCATCAGCCTCTTCTACTGTTTTTAATTAAAGGAGCCACAAGAAGTGTCTTGGTATTTAGGTAAATACACAGACACACACTGTGTTTTATCACATAGGAGCTAACACAGACTACTGAGGGTATATTAATTAGAGAATGTATGTATAGTTCTGCTTTCATGAAGGCTAAAGACTAGGCCAAATAAAAGAGTTAGAAAAATGCAAATACTTCTTTGATCAGTAGTTCTCGCACATGCACATAAGTGCAGCGAGTCAGAAAAAAGAATACAAAATACTAGAATAAATTTATTTGGGCTTGTTTAACAAGACAGCATTAGCAAGATATTATCTATATAACAAAACTATTATACTTTTGTTACTAGGATAGTTTCATGATCCAGTCCAGTAAATATTAGTAGCTTGAATTATGATGCAGCCATAAAACTATTGCATATGTTTCCAGAGATCTGATTCAATTATGACCCAGAAAGCTTGAGTTTGAACTAATTCACTCAGTCTTGAAATATGTATCATACTTTGAGTGTTTTTCCCACTGGCATATGTCACAGATATGCAAAATTTATGCATGCCAGCTGTGCATAACTTACCTAGATTACCTTTGTGAGCAAACGGAGTTATCTAACATGAAAACACAGGGAGACTATAAAGCAGACGGTGAACTTCAGAGGTTCAGCA